CGCAACGCAGCATGGCGAGTGTACAGAGAAGCTCCAGCACCAGAAACTTGGGACAACTACGTAGCCCAACGTAACCACTGCACTCAACTGTTAAGAGAAGACAAAGCCGTCTATCAGCAGAACATCGCAAAAACCTTCAGTGCTAACCACAAACTGCTGTACAAGCACGTTAATAGCCTACGAAAGGTGAGGCAAGGATTTCCTCCACTCAAGACGGCTGATGGCCTCAACAAGAACAGTCTATGGAAGCTGCAAAAGCGCTGCAGATGCAATACGCCCCCACGTTTCAAAGGAGTCTTGCCACCAAGCGATCTACCAAGCTTTGTATTCTGCTCACCAGGACTAACCCACATCAATTTTACCGCAGAGGCTGTATTGCAAAAGCTGACTTCTCTACGCAAACACAGCTCGCGGGTGTCGACACCATTCGTCCAGAGGCATTGGGAGCAGCAGCAAACCAACTGGCAGGACCTTTAGCTCAGTTTTCCAGCACTGCTTAGACCAGAACCAAGTTTCCTCTATGTGGAAGCTTAGAATAATAAGCCCGGTTCACAAAGGTGGAAGCAGAACTGATCCCTTCAACTACCGCGCAGTAACCCTTCTTCCTATACTCTCCAAGGTCATGGAATCCATAGTTGCCGATGCACTGGTGTGCTATCTGGAAAACTGCAACATCATCACTCCTGAACAGCACGGTTTCCGTCGACAGCGGTCATGTACAACGAATTTACTAATTGCACGTAGTAGTAGGACCGAGGCAGCCGAAGCTGGAGAAGGTGTTGATGTGATCTACCTGGATTTTTCCAAGGCTTTCGATCGTCTAGACCATCGGATACTACTATCCAAGCTGCAGCATTACGAGATCGGAGACCCTCTTTTAAGTTGGATTGCCAACTTTTTACTGCAACGGCAATTAGTGGTCAGAGTTCGGAGCTCTTTATCGGACCCCATACAAGTTGAGTGTGGTGTGCCGCATGGCTCGGTTCTAGGTCCACGTTTGTTTCTGGTGTTTATCAATGACCTTGCACAGGGAATGGCTTCAAACTTCCTAATGTTTGCCGACGATATCAAGATCTGGCGCAGGATCCAGGCGAACACCGACCAACATTTGCTTCAGAGTGATTTAGATACGGTGTATCAATGGTCGACCCAAAACTTATTGCATTTCAACGTCAGTACATGCAAGGTGCTTTCCATCCGACACCAGGGCAGCTACTCATACCGACTCGGAACGGATGTACTGCAACAATCAGCTCTCGAACGTGACTTGGGTGTCCTAGTTCAAGATGACTTGGGTTGCTCCAGGCAATCCGAAAAGGCCTCGAAGACCGGGAACCAACACGTGGGGCTGTTGAGTCGGGCTTTTGGACAAATAAACAGCTCCATATTTCGACAAATGCTCAGTGCGTATGTTCGCCCCCATGTCGAATATGCAATTCAAGCCTGGCATCCATGGCTGAAACACGACCTTAATGCACTGAGCAGCCACAACGCCGGGCATCTAAGAACGTAATTGGAATGCGCAATCTTTCCTACCAGGAGAGGCTGCAACGACTGGGATTGTTCAGTGGAAGCTATCGCAGACTACGAGGCGACCTGATTATGGCATACTTGATTCTGCGAGACCCACATCATGTGTGCCGCCCTTTACTGCAACTCAGCAGCAATACAAACCTGAGGGGCCACTCATTAAATCTTGCAGAACAATACAGTCGTCTGGAGTGCCGCAGAAATATTTTTTCCATCCGTGTCTGTCACCCGTGGAATGCTCTCACAGAATCGGTCGTCTCTGCACCGACACTAACAGTATTTAAAAGACGGTTGGACGATGCACCCATACACTTACACTTTGTTACTTAGCACTACGTCTCCATCCTACACCTGGAGTTCACCATGGAATTATTTGTTGTTAACTGCGGATGATGTGAATCTAAGAGGATCGCAGGACTGCAGCGAAGCAAACGAAAAGTCCTTATTTTCATATTTAAAGTATTAACTATTTTACTATCCTTATCATCATTATTGTTATGTTGATATCCCCTGCAACTAACCAACGGGACTTGTAAAGCAACGCTTCTTAACCCGTATAAATTCATTGTTCATTGTTTGCTTGAGTTCGTTACTACGTACTACCGTGATGTCCTGAAAGTGAGGAAGAAGGTAACGTTCGTGAACAGTTACCTTATTAAGCGCGCGGTAATTGGACGCCAGTCTCCTGACGTTTTGGGCATCATGTGAAGTGGAGACGCCCAGGGGTTTTTTGAGGTGTGAATGATGCCTAGCTGAAAATTATCCTCGAATACTGAGCGAGCCATTTTCACCTTGTCGACGGTCATGCACCTTGCTTTAGCAAACGCAGGCGGATCTTTGGTAATGAGATGATGCCTTACAGTATCATTACCGGATCGAAACAGTATTGTTGCACGCAATACTTGGGGGAAATTGTGGCGAAACGTCTGTTCAATAGCTGAGCTCGACTGATTGGCGTATACAGGATTGATTGACTGGATGTCGGGTACCTACAACTGTCAGATTCGTGTATCGGTCGATTAGACGGCGGGGCTTCGTGTCAACTAGCAAGTTGAAGAGTTACAGGAAGTCAAGGCTAAGAATTGGCATCTCAAGATCTGTGAAAATAAAGTCCCATTTAAAGGAACATCGTGGGCTTAAGTTAACCATGTGCGAGCGTTTACCATACACGTGAACGATTGTACCGCTTGCGATGCGCCATGAGCTAATGGCCTTCGCATTCGGATCTATTTTAGCGCGAGGGAGGACTTTAACTTCGGCGCTAGTGTGCACTAAGTAGCTAACTCCTGTTTCTCGATCAGTGACGATGAAATTGCGACTGTGGCAACGAGCAAAGTCCATGGTCTCTACGTGCTAGCAGGTCCGTGTACTTGTGACTTGCGGGAGAAAGCGCAAGGTGGGCGATAGGGTTTAGCGTTTTCACCCAATCGCCTGTGATACCAAACATAGATTAGTGTCTTGGATAGGGATTTCGGAAGGGATTTGAAACGTGCTAAGCAGAATCGACTCATAGAGCGACACTTACTAACATTCCCTGAAGCTACTATTTCGTCAAGTCGTTTAATTAGCGTTGAAACGGCTGATGCTAGTTTAGTTATGTTGTCTTCCGGCGTTGATGGGATGTGCACGATTCGGTCATAAGATTCACTGATACGCTAGCAGTGTAGATTAGCTGAGATAGGGAGGAATCTGCATTTGCGTATGGGATGTTACACCTTTCGTGTGTTAGGCGGTGAAGCCACATATCTTTGAAAAGGGAGTCCTGCATCCTGCGCAGGAGCTGACATGATTTAAGATCATCCAGCTCGGTTTCCATAAATAAGTTCGTTACGCGCTCGCAGTTCGACTTACAAATTAGCAACAAAATACCGGCCTGGATTTCCGTGTAAGTTTTATGCAGGTCGGGAAGCTTTAGAATGTTATCGATGTCATCGAAGGCTTGCGGAGGAAGTGTTGCGACAACGTAGTGGAATGTGACACTGCGATCTAACACCACAAAGCGAAACTATGGACTCAAGTTGAGCGAACCAACTTTTCGGGTTTGCTTCAGGAAAAGATGGAATAGGTACGGTACCACCAATAACATAATTGTCCAAGTCCAAAGGATTAACGTGCATAGCGAAAAATTTGCAGTTATCCAAAAGGAAACCATCAGTAAAAAGATGAGAAAATGTAAAGTATACAGCCAAATCTGAGAAAGATTAGTAAAGAACGTGAATATTTATCTCCCGAGTCACGAATTCTGGTCCGACCGATGGACATGAGCTATATATGCACAACCAGCTAACCGTATGCAAAAAGTAAAAAGACAGATGAAAAAAGGTGAGATAAATATTTATTGAGGAACTTTACAAGCTTACTAAAGCAACGAGCACCAAGCAAATGCTGGATAGGGAGAGGAAAGGATGAAGGTCCTGGGAGCGTCCAAGGCAGTATTTGGGTCGTACTCCGGATATGTGTGTATAAAGACAAAAGTGGTCAACACGCGACAGACAATCTGTTTAATTTTCTAGGTAAAAGTAGAATAAAATTTGGTAATATTGTACACACCTAAGAGGCCATATCCAGATGACTACAGCGCAACGACTGTTTCGAATGTTCGGATAGGTGACGACAGCCTTGATGATGAATAGCATTGTGGATGACCATCAGAAGGGATTGGGGTCAACGATCAAATAAGCACCGTAGCAGAAACAGATCTTAGTACTTGCTTCTGACTTAGCCGTATCGCTTGTGACTTCGTTCAAGCATTTACGGAAGACCGAAATGTCGAAAAAGCTTGACGCGTGTGTACCGCAAGAGTTGATCGATAGTTATGAGCAGTGAAAGCGACCCGTTTCTCAACTGGATTGTGAAGTGCACAAATTGGACCTCCTTTACGACAACTGGTACTGCTCTGTTCAATGGTTGGACCATGCTCAAGCTCTAAAACGCGTCCAAAAAGCGAACCTGCATCAAGAAGCGCATGGTGACTGATTTGCTGTCTGCGGCAGGTCTGATCCATCATAGCTTTCTGAATTCAGGCGAAACTATTACAGTGAATGAGTATTGTTAACCTAATGCCGAAATGCATTGAGAACTTCAGCAAATGTTCACTGTGAACAGAAAGGGACCAATTTTTCTACACCATAACGCTCAGCCGCATGTCGTACAGCCAAGCATGTTGAAGCGGAACGAGCTAGTGTTACTCAACATACTTCCGTGAACTATCGCCTCTCGCTTTCCATTTTCAAACGCCTGGACTAGTTCCTCCGAGATGAACATTTCAGCCCCAAAGAAGGTGCTGAAACCGCATTCAACGAGTTCGTCTCCTCCAGGGCTCCGGAAGTATATTCAACCCGATTTACAAAAGTGTAACACTTCGAATTGGTTTATTTGCTTAAAAATCTTATTTTTGAACCAATACGCACATTTTAAGGTCAATAACTGCAACAAGCTTAGTAGAAACCTAAGCAAATGGGTTTCGTATGCACCTGTTCTGAACCACCTGCTTTCTCAAGTTCTGAGCTGAATAGTGTCGAAATACACTCTTGGATGATTATTCAGTCGCTCTACACTTGCAGTGTACCAGCAACCTACAACTCTACATTACGTGATTCCAGTGGTAAAAGAAAACACCCTACCGGATCTAAGCAGCTTAGATATACGACAAATCCACATTTGTAAAATACATGAAGGAAGGGCTAAGAGCGGAGGGAAAGAAAGTGGAACAATCGCTCCGCTTGAAGGGATGCATAAACACGGATTTGGGAATCTGCTGACCAGGAATTGGATACAACAGACATATAATTGGGACAACTTCGTCTTTGTCCGCACCTACAATCATCAGGTCCAAATCTTCTCTGGGGCCACTCTTTCCATTGTGCCTTCTGGCGGTGTTAAGTCTTCCAGATCAAGGAACAATGTCGGAAACGTAACCAGAGTACCTCGAACCGATTCCAATAGCTGTTGGGCTCTCTCGGGCTCTGAAACAATCAACGGAATCTTCTGTTTATTCTTTCTGCATTCCTCGAACGTCAGCAAATTGTCCGTCGGAACAACGTTGAAGACCTGGTATAGTCCAGAGATACAGATGATAATGGTTTAAATTGATGTAAACAACAGATTTTAGCAATTTAATCAATAACTAGGCCCATTAAACCATACCCACTAGTGCTAGGGCCTTGAGATGTGTTTCGCTTTGTAAATCAGTAAAGCCGTTTTGACTCCAGTATAGGGTAGACCGGGGCAGATGGTAACACTCTTTACATGATCTGCTATTTCTCAGTTACTTAATTCCCCATTAAATCTAAATTTGATTACAACATAGTTGGACTATCAATCTACACAGTGAACCTTTAACGTTCTCTTCATATGGGGACTAGAAATGTGTGGAAACATTTGTGTAGAGTGACACCCTCTGTTACTTTGTGCCTCGGGTACCGGGGTAAGTTGTAACATCGTACGGGGCAATTTGTAACACTTAGGGTTAGTTGTGAAATAAAACTACACAAAAGCAGAAAAGTTGTACTTTTAACAGGAAAGCTAATCAGAAGTACAGTTGTGACAAACAAACAAAGAGTTTCGGCTACCAACATCTGTACAATGCTCATGAGCCCAGACTTCACAAGTTGAGCACTGGATCCAGATCTCATCAGGATGACTGTTACTGTAGCTTTCCGTGCACACGAGACATAAAGATTCATATACATCCGAAGAGGAATCAGAACTTACACCATTTTTTGCTTCTGTCTGTTCATGAAGAGTTTTCTATTTAATTTTCCCTTGCTTTTATCTCTCTTTTGGTCAGCATGCTTTCTCCTTCCTAACCATATACTTTTTAATGGGATATCAATGAGAACAGTACATTTTTAAAAAGCTTTCTGCGACTTTCCCTACTTGTCTTGCTGTCTGCACGTGAATATGCTAGTAGCAATTCTGGATTAAATGTGTGCTCAAGAATTTATGGACCAGCGCCAGATGGAGACATTTCTTTAGAGCTTGAAGCAACAAGTGAACGAGGTATAGCTCCTGCGTTAGCTATCCTGACTGGTACATCGTGGGTTGTATCAGGTAACTGTGCCAACTGAGAGCTGCTTTGTTCTGTATCGGATAGTGTAGAAGATTGTCTCTCATTTTCAGGCTATGGTCTTTCAGTAACCCTAGATGTAGAAAAATCTGACTCATTGAATATGTCCCTGTTAATTAGAACTATTCCAGTCCCTCAGAATGATTTAATTATTTTATTGTGTTTGAAGACGAGAGAGAAAGAGAGTGGTGTCAACAATGGCTGAAATTCCTTTACACTACTCACAAACATCCACAATTAATGGCTGAAATCTCATAAATGCTCATTGTTTGGCCTACATTTTCTCTCATCCAAGCATGGGCTCTGTTACTATCAAAGGTCTTAAAAAGACCAAAAAGTACTCCACCAAGTGGCTGCAATTTATGTGATGAATGAGGAGGTATAGAAAGTAAGGTGGTGTGCTTTTTTACAGAGATCAATTGCTAGAACATAAAGGTGTGAAATGTGATTACGTAGAAGTAATAGTATTGGATTGGCTAAAGTTGGACGTGCAATTTGAATTAAATGTTTTATAGAATCGGGAAATTTCTCTTCATTGATCCAACCTGATCCTTTATGTATGCTTTATAATTCCGGAGGAGAACCAGCAACGAAGTAATCCTTGTAGTTATTTCGTGGAAAAATGCACATCGGTGATACCGCATTTCTGACGGCATTGACGGCACACACCAAAGCAACCAGTGTGCCATTTTCAGATGAAACAACTCACCCAAGTGATCTTTCCTTTCCTTGCAAGAATAAAGTTTTCTGTAGGCATAGTTGTTATTCCAGTTTCATGCACATTATAAATCCGGTCACGGGACTATTTTGCAGGTGTTAAAATTTGTACTAAATTATCAAAGAATAAATTGACTGCAGGACGATTGAAAGCAATGACCCTTGCAAGACTAGTGTTTTCGGTTACCCTCAGAGAAATATTGTGCCTCCTACAAAAGTTTTGCAGCTAATCCTGTCCATCATCTTTTTAGTGTCTTATGACTCAGGCCATTGGATACCAAGTTTCAATGTGCACTGGTAAGCATTCTTGCCTCCAGACATATTAAGCAAAAATGCATGTCTGAGCTTTTTTGGATGTAGTTGGCCGATATGTCTTTTTGTTCTGTAATGAACTCTTGGGCATGTTTGCTGTAACCACATACTGAGGTCTCTTTACAAGACTTCTTCTTCATGTATCGAGACAAAATGACGTGACACATGGTGAGCTCTTGCTCTTCCTCGTATTGACTTTCCTTGCTCAAATTCAAGAGCAGCCGCAGGAAACTGTTCCGGATTACAGTTCCCCCTGTTAGCTTTTCTTCTCTAGTGTCTCACTATCTTTACTTCTGAAAAAATGAGCACTAGGTAATACATCGTTTTGCAAAAAAATACAGTTCTGTTACAACGTGCCCCGCCTATGACAATGTACCACACTCATACCTCGGTCAGAAAACAACTTAGCGTTACATGACAAGCGTACACACAACATGACACTTTGAAGATACTTGAAGAAAAATGGATGACGATAGTCACTCTAAAAGCTTGAACTAGTCGACCGATAAGTAAAATGTCTATGTACTGAAATACAAGAATGAAAGCTTTTACTCACCAAGTCCGAAAAATGAACAATTTGTCTGTCTCTTCAGATATTACTAATCCCGCCTTGCTAGTAACATGCAACTTTCCGGCATGCGCAGTCGCATGTTCCGTGTAAAAAACAAACGGTGTATGTGTTAGTTAATATCCGGAGAAAGCTGCGTTTCAAGTTGCCCCGCGTTATTTTCTGCCCCGGTCAACCCTACCTCCGTCCCCCTTCGCAGCAGTTGGTGTGCTGCGATTTCTTCTAAGGATTAAGTGAGACATGTTTCCTCATTCAGTCCAAGACTTATGTAAAGTTATGGCTAACCACGCACTGAGTGACCGGAAACATTGAGTGAACGGAAACGTTGAGTGAACGACCGGTAAAACATGACAGCCTTACCGTGTACAGACGGTATAGTCCAAGTTGACGAAAACATGTCCTTCTGGATTAACAGACGCAGGGCACCGATGCTCAATCACGTGCGTCGCAGCTCCAACATGTAGCGATGTGACCTTGAACGAACATGCGCGTCAATCACTGAATTGTGCACACGTGGATGTTTGCAGTTGCGCGGCGACATTTAGTGGCACACCTATGAAGCTATACTTATTCATCTTGCTTTCACAAACTCTACCTCCTGATGACATTTGCCCGAAAGCACTCCAGTACATGCTACATCTGCCCTGAATTCTAAATTTCGAGCAGTGTTTCGCCGATATCCAAGCGCTAAAACGTTGTGTAACGGCAAACATCGCAGGTATTGTTTGCTCTCACGCGATAGACCATTTCAACCTTTTTCTTACGAACGCTCACTCGTTCACATCCAACATTGTTTGGAGCAGCTACAGGTTTCAAGGTAAATTAACCTGACGCGATCCATAGGCCTAACCACGAGAATTCTCTATCACACCCTCGTGTACTGTGTTCCACGTTCCCACTGACACATTCGACTAGGACGCCAGAGGACGGACTGCAAGCACACAATTGCAATGCAACCGCTGTGACCTTGGCGTCAACGTCAGTAATAGAACACCTGCGTAACATCGAAGGTGAGTCATTCCAATGCTTCGTAACGTTCGTTCAAGAAGCGCGATGCCCAGCGTGCTACAGGCTAAAAACCCAGGTGGATCAGGTTCCAAGCCTGTTAAGGGGATGCCCGTGCCGTAATTGTTGCAAGATTTTCCAAGTGAGGTGCCTCCGAGTTACACCTAGTCAGGCCAAGTTATTAAACCAACCAGATTTTCTATGGTTCTGTGTGGAATGCACATTTCCCCCACTGATCAAAAGCGCGCTCCTATTACCTCAGAAGTATGAACAGCTACTAGCAAATTCTGAGGAAATGCTGCCCACGGTTGGGGTAAGCATAGCGGACTGTGCAATCCAATCCATTCTAGTAGGTACTGCTCTCATCCTGAGGAGAAAGGATAGTAGTACCATAAGCAAAACAGCACGAAGAGCCCAGGAAGTCAACTGCTGTTCCAATACCACATGCTGCTCACATTTGACTAATGCGGTTCCTAGTTCGATCGGAGTAACTAACCGTAAGATTAGTTCCAATTTCCAGACGAAGTGCACAGAAAAATTTTAAGCCGGTACTAACGAAAATCGGGTTACGCTTGCTTTTAAGAAGAGCCGTCAGTTAAAATTGACAGCACCCCCAACTGGATCGGAAACTGGGGAGCGAAGCGGAATTCTTCTGGTGCAAGCATCACCGGTTTTCTGCGGTACATCCCAGAATATTTCAATCACTAACCGAGATATGTCGAAAGGTGTAAAGAAACAACTACCTATACTGAGCGTACTATGCTCCAATGTCTCAGGATCAAAGTTGACATGGATAAGAGGCAGGCAGTTAGGTGACCTAAACCAGTAGGACGTTTTTAGTAAATGAAACAAACGGGTACTAAAACCCATATACGTAGTGCGTACTACACAACACCCCAACTCTCAACATTACGGAGAGCCAAGACTTCTGCGCGTTTTCCTGAACTCCGTCACTGAAGTAGAATCAGTTCTGCTGTCGCCAGGTAGACACAGAAATGAACAGTGCTCCATCCGTATCTTTCCAGACATCTCACCGGGCGAGCGTTATCGAGACAACCGCAACTTAAAGGACTACCGGAAGGAAAGTTTAACCAGAACCATTCTTCTTCACGGGGTTTTTGAAACTGGATCATGCGGTGATCATGAAATAATAACACATGATAAAGACGAATGGTGTTAGATCCGTGAAATACTCTGCTTGGATGATGTGGTGGTAAAATGAGTGGCACGGCTGCATAACTCACCCAACTAAAATGGACGTGGCCCAAGAGTGTTAAACGTGGTCCTACAGACAAAAGATGTGATAGCAGGGCTACTAAAAACTTAAGTACTTAGTTTACTTTACTGCGGGTAGCTACTGCGACAGGAAGAGCGGGCTTC